CGGGGATGTCTCGCTCCGTACCGGGAGCGTCTCACTCCGTACCGGGAGCGCCTCGCTCCGTACCGGGGATGTCTCGCTCCGTACCGGGGATGTCTCGCTCCGTGCCGGGAGTGTCTCACTCCGCACCGGGATGTCTCGCTCCGTACCGGGGATGTCTCGCTCCGTGCCGGGAGTGTCTCACTCCGTACCGGGGATGTCTCGCTCCGTACCGGGAGTGCGAGTCGCGGTTCGCCCTGCGGTAACGTGTCCACATTTGCTCGTTGCCGGGACAGCGAACGCCTCGTTTGTGCCCCGCGGGTTTAGCGTTGTGAGCTGGGGGGATTCGGTGTAAGGAGCGATGGTTTAGGTGTGAAATGAGCGAGATAACGGAGGAGATCCGTGAATTGTCATCTCTCTATCTTTTTGTTGTGCGAAGGGACACTATGTTTTGTTGTTAGCCCTTGTGAAGGGAAAACAAACGAGCCGGATAGCTCTGCGGTGCCAAGGAGAGGATGGTAAACACGCTCCGATGCGCTGCGGGGCTGGGGGAGGGTGAAACCAAAACAAAGCAGAGTTTTCTGATGCCCTTCAGCGTGTCTGTAGGTGTAGGTGGGTCTAGATAAAATGAGGAAAAAGTTAAGCCTTTCTTCCAAGCACAAAGCTTGTTTATTAATCAGACGCTGAAAGTGAAGCATGTCTAGCGAGGCAGTAAATGCAATTTTATACATGTCTCCTGAATGATGCATGAAATAACTTGTCATTTGCAAATAGGGGAACTTTTGCATTGAAGAATTACTTTAGTAGAAATTTACAGATCCTGATGGAAGGAAACTTTGGGGTTTGGCCCAGGGGTGCAGACTGTTGATTGTTTTCATAGAAAATGTCTCAATGTCAATATCATGTATGTTTCCAGAAACAGTCTAGTGCTACAGTGTGTGTTTGTGTTAGCACAGCTTACATGTTAACAAAATATTTACAAGGAAGAGGTTTGTTATTTCCTTTGCTTTCATTTCTGAAAATAATAATTCTATGCTTGCAGCACAGGGTTTGACTTTTGAAATGGGACATCTAATTTTGCTTTACCATGCTGCCTGCATGGCTTTTTATTTAACTTGCAAGTTCATTTATTTTTCTGTAGAATTAGTATTTTCTGTGTCAAACCACGTGTTTAACCAAAAGGTGAATTAATAGTTAACATTCTGTGTTTTGAAACAATTGCTGACTCTTTTGAAAGTGGGAAGAATTGAAAAAAGCAGATAGATTACAAGGGCAGAACAGCTGCCTGGACTTTATTTTGAGGTGTATTTGATTGGGGTTTTTAGATCATGGTCTTATCACAGAAAGGTTGGTGTTAGAAGGAGCCTCCAGAGATCATCTAGATCAACCCCCTTGCTAAAGCAGGTTCACCTAGGGCAGGTTGCACAGGATTGCAGGTTTTGAATATCTGCAGAGATAGAGACTCCACAACCTCTCTGGGCAACTTGTTCCAGTGCTTGGTCACACGCATGTAAAGAAGTTCTTCCTCGTGTGCCAACCCATGTTTGAAGGCTGAGAGTTTTGACTCTAGGAGGCTGTTTTTAGAGCACATGTGTCTCTTCAGATGGATGAGGAAGAGTGGTCAATCTGGAGCCTGTTACCTCTGTACAGCATGTCAGTCTCTAATCCAATTTGGAAAACCTGTTTGAATTCAGATATGTGAGAAACCTTAGTCTCGGCCTTCTTGCAGGACAAACATTGTATTTTGCTTTCTGGAGGCAGTTATGCACAGTTCTTGCTTCTTTCTTTTACACACCTCATAGGTTTTCTTAGAGGGTAGTGATAAAGTACACTAGTGTGCTTTAAAATAAATTACTGTCTCCCCAGAACACAATATACCATCAACAATACCTATTCTATTAGGAAATTCATGGAGGCTAAGGAGAATCAGAAGGACTGAAATGTGAGCCTGAAAATGAAGTAGGCTTGTTGAAAGAGAGCACTTCAGCCATTAAAAAAAAAAGAGAGAAAGACAGGAAAATAAAATGTGCAATTGAATTGATAGGACATGTCTGTTTCAAAATATATGAGGCAAAATTTGCTTTCATTGAAACTGATATTGTCTTTTTGTGTTTTAGAATCAGGTGCTGTTTTCACATTTGGGAAAAGCAAGTTTGCAGAAGATATACCTAGCAAGTTCTGGTTCAAAAATGACAAGCCTGTACTTATATCATGTGGAGATGAACATACTGCTATTATTACAGGTCAGTATTGGAAATGGAGTGTATAGAACATAGAATTGTTTCGGTTGGAAAAGACCTTTAAGATCATCAAGTTCAACCGTTAACCTAACACTGCCAAGTCCACCCCTGGACCATGTCCCTAAGTGCCACATCTACACGTCTTTTAAATGCCTCCAGGGACGGTGACTCCACCACTTACTTCCCTGGGTAGCCTGTTCCAATGCTTCATAGCCCTTTCAGTGATGAAATTTTTCCCAATATCCAATCTAAACCTTCTCTGTCACAACTTGGGGCTGTTTCCTCTTGTCCTGTTGCTTGTTACATGGGAGAAGAAACCAACTCCCACCTTGCTGCAGCCTCCTGTCAGGTACTTGTGGGGAGTGATAAGGTCTCCCCTGAGCATCGTTTCTCCAGGTTAAACACCCCCAAATCCCTTAGCCTCTCCTCATGGCACTTGTGCTTCAGACCCTTCCTCAGCAGCATTGTCCTTCTTTGGACACACGCCAGTACCTCAATGTCTTCCTTGTAGTGAGGGTCATCTATATGGTAAAAGGTGATATATTTGGACAGTTAAGGATTCTTATTCGAATCCTAAGGTAATATATCAAATAAGGTCATGGAGAGGAGAGAGGACTGTTCTGTGGGAACTGTTGGGTACCTTTGGAGTTTGTGTGAGGTCACTCAAGGTTTTCAAAGACATGCCCAACGACTGTCTGGAGGGAGTTTGTGATAAGTGAATATATCTCACAGGATTTAAAGTAAGCATGACTTTGTTCAGCTTGAATGTTTCTTGTGTATCTGACAATGTCTAGTGGGCAGGCTTAAATATATTGTGCCATAGAAGTAACAGGATCAGCTGAACACCATCATCAATTTCACTGGAAATCTGCTTGAAACAATAGATGCAAGAAGATTTGAATTACTGTTAACCATCAAATAAGCTGATGATTACCAATTTTTTCCTGCATTAAGCATGTAGCTGCATTATTCTTTCCTGTCTTTGGGGTAAAAGATGTGGGAGCTCAGGTAAATGTGCTGTTATTTTATAAGGAGGCCTATAGACACTGTGGTTTTGGAGCTGTAGGGTCTGTCCAAGAGTGCAACGTCTTGTTTTCTGAAGAGCACTTTATCTGTGCTGTAATTAAAGGAGAGGATGTTTGTTCTGCTTTTTGTCCCTTCCTCTGGCTGGAGGTTTCTTACTTAAACAATGCAATTACTATTTTTGAGCTGAAAAATCACAAGGATATTGATTATTGTTTGCACTTAAGAATCGAATTGACTAGTCTTAAACCTTACATTAAAAAGGAAGTAATACATAGCATAGTGTGGGAATGAGCAGCTTGTCTTGAATGAGGTATTCAAACACTTGTATGGATTCTGTGCTTTTTTTTCAGGGAAAGGTAAACTGTACATGTTCGGCAGTAATGACTGGGGCCAGTTAGGACTAGGATCAAAGAACACTGTCAACAAACCAACATGTGTTAAAGGTGTGTTTCATTTTTCTTCTCTCTTTTTTCCATTCTATTTAAAGGAGACCTTTGTGAAAAGGTGCTTAATAAGGTGCGTTTCCAAAATAAGTGATTCTGCCATCTTTACCCATCAGAGGTAACATATTACTGCACAAGGTCATGAAAGTAGCTTAAAAAGATCCCTGATTGATTTTCCATCACTTCCAGATTCTGAGTCCTGTTGCACCTGAAGTTTGCTTTAGATGGATGTCATTTTTAAGGGCTCTGATTTTATGTAATGTTTGCCTTTTCTGACAAACCACATCTTCATTTTTACTGCAAAGACAATAATCAGATGCTTGGTCTCTGCATCGTTGTCTGTGTGTTAGAAATCAGAGTTCCATCAGCGTTGTGTAACCTTTGTATGATTTTCTGTGTGTTAGAAATCAGAGGTCCATCAGCGTTGTGTAACCTTTGTATGGCTCTTATCTTAGCAACTTTGTAAATGAAAAAATCTATCAGAAAGTTTCTACAAGTACTGCTGCATTTTAAGCAACTGTAAGAAGTGCCCAGGGGTGCATAAATGTTAATACATTTGTATGCAGCAATAAAATAAATGCCTACTTTCTTTCATGTGTTGTAAAATATGTTTTCATTGCACTGTGATCTTGATCTTTCCTAGCTGGTTTTATCTTGTCAAACAAAACTAAGTCAATACTTTCCCCTATCCCCTTACTTATGTCAAGTCAGATCTATCCCATTAACACATTTCTTTTCACCATTGAATGTTTATCTTCATCCTTTCTGCCAGCAGATTGATCTGTCAGTTTATTGTTTAAAACAAATTATCCTGCTTGTTCAAACTCTGTTCTTCCTGATTTGGTTTATTCTACTGTCCTTTATCTCCTCCTGTCTCTATTTCACTTCAGAGGGACAGCTACTCTCAGGTTCACATCTTCTGTCAGCCATGGGAGAGATTGATTCTTACCTTGGCTTAAATGGATTGGGTGTCAAGTTTTGTTGTTACTATCAAATTGCAATGGAGAATAAAAGATGAAAAGAAGATGACAGCAGTTCAAACCAGACCTGGCATCCATTGAAAAAAGCCACAAGGGGGGTATCCTTCTTCTCTTGGCAACAGGCAGCAGGAGAAGGTCCTGGAGCTTTTCTCACTAGCAGTTGGTCATCTCTTGGCTTTGGGAATGGTGTTGTAAGGACACATTTCAGTTTCAGGCTTGGAGCCAAATGGTTGTGACTGCATGTTTTGTGAGAAAACGTCTTCTGGGATTTGACTAGAGACTAATGAAATTGGTTATGAAAATTTGCCAGCAACATTGTAAAGACAGCATGTCTCATCATATACAATTGATTAGCCTAAATAGGAGGAAGGTTATGGAGCACAGGTTTCTGAAGAGCTGATTAAGATCATCTCTGAAAGGTGGAGACAGAGTTTTGGGACATAATGCAACAAATTAAGATTGTAGGAAGAAGCCAGTATTGTAAGTGTTATGGTTCCAGCCTGGTGGTAGTGGTAGGTGTTGGATAGGATAGGCAGGAACCTGAATATGTGCAATTTAGGTTTGTGTTTGTGTCTGTGTGATAGACCAGAGGCAGATCATGCTTAACTAGATAGATTTATTTGGTGACTTGGTAGGTAGTAGAAGGCACTTTAATCTGAATGCTATGGAGCAGATGAAAGTTGATTTGGAAGGATTGAAAAAGAGTTTGTGAAAGGTGATTGTTTTTGGCTTTGTCATGGACTAGTGCAATGCAAAAACAATTAAAGATATATTATGTAAAATAACATTGTTTTAAGAGCATTGTATAGGGTCCATGGACATGACTGAGAGAGGGTAATTTGTTGACAAATTGGACAGAGAATGGGAAACTCAGTGAGTTTGTTTTTAACTCTGTTTCTGAAATGGAGTGCACTTGCCATGGGTGTAGAGGCACCTCTGTATTCTCTCTTTCCCACCAAAGTAACTCTTGACTCCTCTCATGTACATTCCCAATCTTTCAAAGTGAGCAGGGAAGTACCTGCAGTGGGTGGGTGGTAATAGAGCTGAAACTGAGACAGGATAGTACATATAAGAAATGTAGGCACTAATCCAGGTAGGGCTGTCCTTAGGAATCGAGTTTAGTGATCACTAAGAGAACATTACAGAGCAAAACTCCAGCAAAAAAAGAGATGTGTGCATAATGAAGGGAGGTAGGGGTGGTAAGACAAAAGAACAGTATGGTTTTAAAGATTTAAGACAGTGGGAAAAGCATAAGAGAGAATTAAGAACAGTAATGTTAATGAAAACTGAAGGCAGCTTTAAGCTTTCATTTTGTCCTACTGGATATATTCTCTAAGGCATATCCATAAATGGTAAATTCCAGGGACTGTGGCATTGGGATGAAGTAGCCATCATCAAGTTAACTTGAGTGTCTTAAGTTTTTAAGGTATGATCTGTTCTCTCATCTTGGGGGAGTAGTGATTTAATAAGTCATGTGCTAAGTTCAAAAGGGCAACAAATCTTGTAATCATTCTGTTGGCAAAAATATGGAAACAAATCCGAGCTCCCTCTAGAGCACCAAGAATTTTGTTATGGAACCTGCTATCAGCTTGTTTATAACTTTTCCCTCTTTTGGCTTTAATTTGTAGCTTTAAAACCAGAAAAACCAAAACTTGCTGTTTGTGGAAGAAACCACACTTTAGTTTACACAGGTATGTAACCAATATTTTATACGTATGAAAGGTAGATTTCTTCCTTTGCTTTCTTACAAAATTACATTAGAAGCCCCAGGAGTGTTGAGGAAGGAAGTATAAATGAAAATGGGATGGTTAAAACTTGGGGTATTGATATCCAGTTCTATGCGTGTTGGATTTATTCTGAGCCAAAGCACTTACAAAGTAATGTTATATAGCAGTTTGTTAGCAATAGACATCTGAAAAAATTTCTTGTTGCCATTTGAGGTGTGGTTAACAATTATCAGTATTTCATTTAGGCCCTCTAAAGGTATATTATTATTTTTTATATATCTGTACTCAAATTTACCTTTGACAAGTAATCTTTATTAGTGTGAAGTGATATATTTGAGTAAACATAGCAGAACTGAATGTTTTCAAGTCTTCAAATTTTGTTGCATTCTGGGTTAGACAAGATAGGCTGCTGTTTCAGTGACAAGTTGCTTTATTAACCTGTAAATAAATAAACTGTAAATTTAAACTTAAAAGTAAATTTTTAAGAGTATACAGAGGATTTATGCAAATGCTTGTCATGCTTCTCTAAATTCTGTTATGGAATAGCCATCTCTGTGGTTGTAATGCTTTAGCTTGCAGTAATGTTATAAAGAGGATTGTGTGATTATTAGGAGGTTTATGTATGTAGAGACCCTGAGCACTGTAAATGAGACTTTTGGAATAAAGAGAACATTTTAATAACTGTTGAGTACTTCAGACTGCACTGGATAAATATTAGTCACTTGTGGTATACACACTGACTAGATTATTTGTGGCCATTAATATAGCAAGTACCATTTATAAATTGTGTGTTAATCATCTTTCTGTTGGGATTTGTGTTAATAATGGGCCTTATCTGTGTCATCATAGATGAGAACTTTAGATGTGAAATATGCTAAAATTAAAAATATAAATCTTGAAGTTCCCTTAAGCTGAAGATATTAGTCATCAGCATTAACTTCCATTTGAAGATTCTAAAACAAAACACCTTATTAATTAAATCGAAAGTGATTTAAACAGTAAAATGAGTGAATTACTTCTAATAAAATACTAAGTAAAAATGTATGTCATCCACAATACTCAAAGCTGTCAAATTATTAGTCTCTTTAATTTGCATGCTAATACAGCTTCAGTTTTCTTGGCTGTGACATTTTCCTCTCACTTTATTTTAAAATAGACATTATTTGTGCAAGGAGCTGTTTCTGGCTGCCAGTGCTGCTGGTAGTCATTCTCTCACAACTCTTGCAGAACTTCAGAGTGGTGGGGAATGCAGCCAGTCTGAGTACTTGTAAGACTTTTAGAAAGTTCTGATCCAAGCCTGTGCAGGAAAGCCTTTGTTAGCTACAACAGAAACTGCTAATGTCAACTCAAGGGTATTTCAGGCCAATAGACCCCAACATTTCTGTGATGTTTTTCTATTGAAAATTAAATGTCTTGCTCCAGTTTCTTCATTCTGTGTATAACGTGTCCTTTTCTGTGTGCAGAAAAAGGAAATGTGTATGCTGCTGGAGGTAACAGTGAAGGTCAGCTGGGATTAGGTGACACAGAGGAAAGGACCACATTTCATTTAATTAGTTTTTTCACCAACCAGCACAGGATCAAACAGCTGGCAGCTGGATCATACACCTCAGCAGCAGTAACTGGTAAGAGCAACTGGTAACAAAATCTGTTTGTGTGTGTCCAGCCTGGTGTTCCAGGGAAACAACATTTTATCTTAAATCTGTTAACTGTCTGTGTCTTCATTTTAGAGGATGGGCAGCTCTTTGTGTGGGGTGACAACTCAGAAGGTCAGATTGGCTTGGCCAGTGAAACCTGTGTCAGTGTCCCTTGTCAAGTGGATATTGGAAAACCTGTTTCCTCTGTATCCTGTGGATATTATCACTCTGCCTTTATAACAGGTGAGAGAATGGGAATAGTGCTTAGTGGAGACAAGACAGTGGTTTTCAAATTGTTCAGATTTACCAGGGGCAGGTTCTCTAAAATGTGGGCCTGCCTGATTCATTTTTGAAACTTGTATGTAATTTACTATATAATTCCTTTTTTAATTATTGAATTAACAGTACTGTGAGAAAAAAACCTCTAGCTCATTTTCTGCATTTGCACATTGTTGTGCAAAAGTATATTAGAAAGAAGGAGTATCTTACCCCTTTATTTTCATGAAGGTTATGGAAAATGTTGTGGATTAATGCTGTGGTTTCAAAAATCGATTTTTTTTCTTGAGATTATTCATTTTTTTGCGATGATCAAATAATAATCTTCATCTCTAGAATTATGAATATAGAACAGAGTTGATATGACGAAAAATTCATCTCATTGCCAGCAGTGCAAGATTGTTGTCAATGTCTGATGTTATGTTTTAAATTTTAAGTTTCAAAGTCAGTTAAGCAGGCAGGATATGGTATGAGGAGAAGCATATGCTGCAGTGAGCTCTTGTCTAATCTCCAAATGAATCCACCTCTTTTGCTTTCCACCTGCTTCTTCCCAACTCTCAGTTGGTTTCCAAAGTGAAGATTCCACTCATTTTTTAATACTGCCAGTATGGGTAAATTTATCAGCCCGTATTGATGGTGTTATGTATGAGCAGCCATGAATTCCTCTCAGCCTTATAGATTTACATTATTAAACTTTGCAGTTTGGTCCCCTCAGAGTAATTAAAGATTTCAAAGGATCAATAGTTTTGATTGTAAAGCTTTTAACAGGTACCCAAGAGCTATTCCATCAGATACCTTTCTCAGATTGCTTGATAAATGTTACTTTTCCACATATGATATCTGTATTGCTCTCTGAGAACATGCTGTTAACAGAATGAGAGTTTGCTACCGTAGACAAATATTAATTAGGCATTATGCTGGTAGTGTGCAACTTTTATTGCAGATGCTTTATTACAGTAAATGGATTAAATGTCTGGGACTAATCAGGAGCTCAGCACCTGTTAGGAAGTCCACAGCTCCCTGAACTCAGAATAAATGGGGGAAAAAATGATGCTGATGTCAAGAATGTAGTAAGAATGTGTTTGTCTCTGCCTTAGAGCCAAGAGCTGAAGCTCTAAGGCTGCAGTGGGATGTCACAAAAGCTCTTGTTAGTAGAAGGGTTGAGGAAAAGCATTTAAGAATAAAGAGAGAACAGTGTATGCCAAGTGCTCTAAGGAAGTAGAAGCTTTTAATGGAAGGGGATAAGAAGAAAGGCTTAGGCTTTCAGCTGGTTAAGAAAAATGGAGTCTCAAAATATTAATATGAAGATGAACTGATTATCACCTGTGAAAACGAGGAGTTGTTGAACCCATACTGCTTAAACAGGCCTGAGTATAAAATGGAAAAATCTTGATTTTCACCCTTATTATCTGCAAATCCTGCACAAAATGGGCTTCAGTCTACCTCACTGAAACTACTGACACACACATGGCCTTTTTTGTGCTGAAAGTGTAAATTTTTTTTTATTACGTTCTTTGGGCCCTTGCCAGCAGTTTTATTTGACTGATACTTCAGCTGCAGCTACCATAAAAATTTAGTATTGGACATCCAAGTGCATTTGCTGCACTGATCTTCTGTTGTACTGGTGTCAGTGTGTTATCCTGACACTGTTTAAAAACAAACCTATGCATTTAGTCTGAGTGTACCATAGTCACACAATGTGCTACTTACCAGTTATTAGATCCCATAGAATTACTCTGTTTGGGTTTTTACATCAAATAATACACTGTATTTAATGATAAAACATAGCTGCAGGATGTAAGAATTGATCCATGCTGTTGTGCTGAATGGATAGCACACGTGGCTCCCTTTCTAATATGCCTAAGGTTAACATAAAGTGTGCACTGCCTAAGCAAACTGAGGATCACAGGCATATCTGAGTTAAAACTAAGAGGTGCTTAATGAGGATACTGGAATACATAGTGTGGACACAGAGTGCCCTCTCCAGGGCAGGATGTTCCTTAATAAGAGACTATTGAGGAAAAAAGTGGTGAAGTTTGGATTCCAGGTGTTTGGTTGGTTTTTTTTAAACTGCAGTTGTTAATTCTTTGCAATAGCTGTTTTAAAAGATTTTGCAGTAGGCATTTGTCTTTAAGGTTTTAACTGCTCTAAAGCTAAATGCAGTGTCTGTTTAGTAGTTCCAAAAAGTTACTTTTGCCTTTTAGAATGCCTTGTCTGCAGACAAGTCACCTACTAAATATGTCAGTCACCTGTATTCCACCATGTACACGTGTGCCCCACTGACACCAAAGTAGTTGTAGAACATATCCTGAATATTTTTGATAAAAAACACATCTGAAATTTAGCCTAGGCACAAGCACAGACAATGGATAGCTCATTTCCATATGCAAATTAGGAAACTGGTCTGTTTACTCAGTTCTTATTTGAAAGATGATTGTTTGCTCCCTTTTTCTTTCCTTTGCATTCTTCAGAGGTCCACTAAAAAGAAGGTTTTAGTCTATAGTTTCCAATCTTCTTTAGGACTTTTCCACAGTATGTTTCCTTTCTTGTTGCAGACTTGGGATGTTGGGTCCCACTGGTAGAGATATGGCTCTAACAAAGCAACAGAGAAAGAAAAAGCTGAAA